CTGACTGTTAATGATGTCTTTACACTAAATCCATTGATGTTCCATATGTATTGATTGATATTTTAGTGTTAGACATTTATTTGGTCTCTGGTGGAGAGTTGTCTCATTGGCAATCATACCACATCTTATTTTTATATTACAGACTATCAACATTAGTTCAATCGCGATAAGTAAAGCAGTCAACACATTTCGGTGTGTGCATTCTTGTTTTCTATTTGTTACACAATGACACCTTGTAAAATCAACTCTTCTGAGAATGTTTGCCTGAAACCTTTTGTATTTGGTAAGATTGTTTGTCATTAATACTGTACTTTCATTCTAATTTGAATGTCTGTCTGTCCATCCATCAGTCCGGTAAATCAGTTTTCCACATTTTTTTTCTTCTTGCTTGAAGATATTGATTTGATATTTGGTATATAGTTTTATCACGACCAGTTACAGATCAAGTTCGAATTTTATTCAGATCTGATGATTTTGTGCAGAGTTATGGTCCTTGGATTTAGAAAATTCATGCAATTAATCAGTTTTCCGCACTTTTTCTTTGTTATGCTTGAAGATATTGATTTGATATTTGATATATAGTTTTACCATGACAAGTTACAGATCAAGTACGAATTTTTGATTGGTTCTGATGATTATTTTGCAGAGTAATGGTCCTCGGACTTAGAAAATTCACGCAAATAATCAGTTTTCGACACTGTTTTATTTAATTTGGGGAGGGGGTAACAAAAAGGGTCTAAAACAAGCATTTTTCTAGTTTTCAGACAATAACTTGTGTTTAAGTGTATGGATGTCTCTTAATTTGAACCACATTTTACAAAAGGAAAATGTCTTCAAAATTAATTTTTTTGGAAGGGGGGGTAAATTTTTTTCTTTTTTTTTGGGGGGGGGGGGGCAATTTTTTTTCCTCAAAAGAAAATTTTCTTCAACTGTTATTTATTTTGGAGATTTAAAAAATTGTCAGTTTTCCAAAGAAAAAAATTGGGGGTCACAATTTATTTTGCTAATTCTTTGTATATAGTCTGAAAACAGATTTACTAAGTATTGCACAACAGCACAGTGTATTGCACAACAGCAAGAAATCTTCAATTGAATATAAATTCTAATCATGCATTTGGATTCCAGACAATAACTTTAGTTTAAGTGCATGGATCTCTATGAAATTTAACCAAAAGGTTCTATACCATAAAAGGAAGGTTGGGATTGTTTTTGGGGATGATTGGTCCCAACCGTTTAGGAATTTTGGGCCAAAACAAGCATTTTTCTAGTTTAAGGACAATAACTTGTGTTTAAGTATTTTGATTGCTCTGAAATTGTACCACAAGGTTCATTACCACAAGTAGAAGGTTGGGATTCATTTTGGGGGTAATTGCCCAAACCATTCAGGAATTTGGGGCCAAAAAGGGTCTAAAACAAGCATTTTTCTAGTTTTCAGACAATAACTTGTGTTTAGGTGTATGGATGTCTCTTAATTTGTACCACATTTTACAAAAAGTGAATTTCTTCAAAATTAATTTTTTTGAAAGGTGGGGGGGAGGGGGGGGGTAAAAAAAAAATTTTTATGGGGGGTTAATTTTTTTTTCCCTCAAGATTTAAGAAATTGTCAATTTTCCAAAGAAAAAAATTGGGGGTCAATTTATTTTGCTAATTCTTTGTATATAGTCTGAAAACAGATTTACTAAGTATTGCGCAACAGCACAGTGTATTGCACAACAGCAAGAAATCTTCAATTGAATATAAATTCAAATCATACAACCAATTTCAAGTTCTTTGACACATTTATTCTGTGTCAGAAACCTATAATGTGTCAAATATTTAATTACAATCCAAATTCAGACCTGTATCAAGCTTGAATATTGTGTCCATTTTTGCCCCAACTGTTCAGGGTTGGACCTCTGCAGTCGTATCCAGCTGCACTTGGAGAAGCAGTTTATTAACCGGTAGGGGACTATGTATTGCCATGCAATACTCTCAGAAAGCTTGTTTATATTGGTAGAAGATTTTTATTGCTGTATTTTATGCAGATGAACGGAGTGCAATTATTAAATGTCTTTTCATTTAAAGATTTTTCGTTTTCCTTTTGTCTATAAATTTTTATATATTATTTTATTGTGATTGTTTTTGTTATAGAATCTCAACTAGTAAAGAAAAAAACAGTCTCTTTAACAAAGTTTAGATTTTATTTATATGACATAATTGCTGTCATTGCCTGTTTTGAGCAATTTTCATTTTGTTTCTTATATGATTTATTGTTTATATTTATTTATATTATATGTAATACTATACCGTTTCATTTTTAGCTCACCTCGTCCGTCATTGTCATCCATTAACTTTTACAAAAATCTTTTCCTCTGAAACTACTGGGCCAAATTTAACCAAACTTAGCCACAATTATTATTGGGGTATCTAGTTTTAAAAATGTGTGATGACCCAGTCTGTCAAACAAGATGGCCGACATGGCTAAAAATAGAACATAGGGGTAAAATGCAAGTTTTGTCTATTAACTTGAAAACTGCTATGAGTAGTCAAAATCTGACAAGGGCAGAAATGTTAAGAATGTTGAGATCTACCTGCTGTCCATTTAAGTAAAATTGCCTTTTTTGGGGCAATTCCACATGTCTAGATCTGAACTTTCGTCCCTTCAGTCATTAAATTACTCTGAATGCCATAGAAAAATAGCTTACAATTGTTGCAGAAGTATGGTCTGTGAAATGATAACGGAGAAACCCTCTTTAAAACAATGGGAGGCCCAAAATCGAAAATGGTACCTAACCCATCAAATGAAGGGATCTACATGGTAAGGATTAAATAGTATAATAGTTTGGACTTGGGAGAAGTCAACACCCTTAGATAAACACAGCGAATCAAAATTTTCAGGTCATTTTGTCATAATTTTACTTTTTTATTTTCAAACGAAATATAAGTGTCTTTGACGTTTATATATATATCAAAAGCAATATTAATTTTAGACTTTTTAGTTTGCCAAAGGAATGGACCGTGAGAGTAGACTAGATGACCTGACAAGTTAAATTTTAGTGCTTAAAACATTTAGGGGCATCGAAATAAATGAAACATAACAAAAATTTTCCAAAACCGTCAAAGGTCAACTTTGCCTGTGGGGAACTATTTGACTACTTTTACATTTTTATACCTTTAATCATTCTTATAGGGATATATTGAACACCTAATTTGTTTTTTTTTATTATTTTTATACGACCGCAAAAAAATTTTTGTGGTCGTATATTGGTATGACGTTGGCGTCGTCGTCGTCCGGCGGCGTCGGCGTCGTCGTCGTCGTCGTCGTCGTCGTCCGGCGTCGTCCGAAGACACATTGGTTTTCGCACTCTAACTTTAATTTAAGTGAATGGATCTTTATGAAATTTTACCACAAGGTTCAATACCACAAAAGGAAGGTTGGGATTGATTTTGGGGGTTATGGTAATAACAGTAAAGGAATTAGGGGCCAAAAAGGGGCCAAAAATAAGCATTTTTGTAACTTCCAGACATAACTTGTGTGTTAGTGTATGGATCTCTCTGACATTGTACCACAAGGTTCCATATCACTAAAGGAATGCTGGGATTGATTTTGGGGGTAATTGCCTCCAAATTTTAGGAATTAGGGGCCAAAAAAGGGGCAAAAAACAAGCATTTTTCTAGTTTCATGACAATAACTTGTGTGTAAGTGTATGGATCTTTCTGAAATTGTACTACAAGGTTCCATATCACAAAGGGAAAGCTGGGTTTGAGTTTGGGGGTAATTGCCCTAAACGTTTAGGAATTGGGGGCCAAAAAGGGGCCAAAAAACACATTTTTTTCTAGTTTCCAGACAATAACTTGTGTTCAAGTGTATGGATCTCTCTGAAATTGTACTGCAAGGTACCATACCACAAAGGGAAGGCTGGGATTGAGTTTGGGGGTGATGAATCATAATGGGGGTTCAAAAAATTTTGGGGGGGGATTTATTTTTTTTTCCTTTTTTTTTCTTTTTTTCCTTTTTTGTTTCTTTTAAAATTTTCCATTTTAAGTTGGTTATTTCTGATTTATATTTAAAATCAAATAATAATGATATGGTAGGAGATACACACCAAACAGGATGTGTAAATTATTATATAATAAGTATTGTGCAATAGCAAGAAATTTTCAATTGCACAGTATTGCACAATAGCAAGAAATCTTCAATTGCACAGTATTGCGCAATAGCAAGAAATCTTCAATTGCACAGTATTGCGCAATAGCAAGAAATATCCAATAGCACAATATTGCGCAATAGCAAGAAATTGTCAATTGTACAGTATTGCGCAATAGCAAGAAATATTTAATAGCACAGGATTGTGCAAAAGAAGATACTTCCTATAAATTGCTTATTTCTTGACCAATTTCAATGGGGTTTTATTCTTGATTTCATGGGGTTCTTTAATATGCTGAATATAACCGTGTACCTTTAGTTTTTGGATTTTGGGCCCCATTTTAAATTGGTCCACATTGAGGTCCAAAGGGTCCAAAATTAAACTTTGTTTGATTTCATCAAAAATTGAATTATTGGGGTTCTCTGATATGCCGAATCTAACTGTGTATTTAGATTCTTAAATTTTGGTTCCGTTTTCAAATTGGTCTACATTAAGGTCCAAAGGGTCCAAAATTAAACTTAGTTTGATTTTAACAAAAATTGAATTCTTAGGGTTCTTTGATATGCTGAATCTAAACATGTATTTAGATTTTTGATTATGGGCCCAGTTTTCAAGTTGGTCCAAATCGGGGTCCAAAATTAAACTTTGTTTGATTTCAACAAAAATTGAATATATGGGGTTCTTTGATATGCTGAATCTAACCATGTATTTAGATTTTTGATTTTTGGGCCCCGTTATCAACTTTGTCCACATTGAGGTCAAAAGGGTCCGAAATTAAACTTTGTTTGATTTCATCAAAAATTGAATTCTTGGGGTTCTTTGATATGCTGAATCTAACCATGTATTTAGATTTTGGATATTGGACCATAATAGGTGAATGTCCAATTTAAAATTTTTAAGTTCTTAGACCACATTCAATCTGTGTTAGAAACCTATGCTGTGTCAAATATTTAATCACAATCCAAATCCAAAGCTGTATCAAGCTTGAATGTTGTGTCCATACTTCCCCCAACTGTTCAGGGTTCGACCTCTGCGGTCGTATCAAGCTGCGCCCTGCGGAGCATTTTATTTAATGATATATTCATGGATTAATTTGAAAGTTTGAAGTGTAATAATTACTTTGAGCAACAAGATTGTAATTTTTATTTCACATATTTTCACTTTAGAAATGGCTGATATTGACTAGGCACTCATACAAGAAGCTAAAGTCCAGAAAGGTACTCAACATACAGAGATACTGTAAAAAAAAAACTTGTATCTGCAATAATGGATATTTGTTGTTCCCAACCTTGGTAAAAATTAATAAAAAAAAGTTTTTCATTCGATGTCATTTAAAAAAAATATATCAGGAAACTTGAATTTCAGCTCTTCAATCTAGACTAAAAGTTGTACACTTTACCTTTTTGTATATAAAGTTTACAACAGTGTGGAATTTGGTTATACATGTATTATATTTTAGATGCTGATCCACTTTCATCATCAGCTCCACTGTTTAAACAGCTTGGGTGGATGACAGTAGAGAACAGAATCTCATACCACAAATCTGTTTTGATGCAGAAATGTCTTAAGAACGAAGACCCTGTATATATATCTCACTGAAAAATTTAAAGAAATGCCAGAAATAAACCAATATTGTTTGAGGAATGCGCCTTGCAAAAATTTACAAGTTCCAAAAGCCAAAACAGAGCTGTATAAGAAATCTTTTATATATTCAGGATCTATTTTATGGAATAACTTACCAACATCCCTGAAAAAATCAACCTCAAGTACAAGCTCATTCAAAAAAGATTTAAAAAATTACTTGTTGGAACATTAAGAAGGTGTGTAATTTTATATGTGTAATAATTTTCACACACTTACTCAAACTTAAGATATTGTTGAGGTAATTTGAATGATGCCAATACTATATGAATTTGTAATTTTTACCTGTTTTGAAAATTGTATATTTCATAACAATTTTTTATTTCATTTTTTCATATATGTGTGTTTGTTTGATATTTTGTAATTGTTTGTTATATTTCATTGTAAATCATGAGGGCCTCAGGGAAGATTAGCTTTATAGCTAACTGTGTAACCCTCTTTAAATAAAGAATTATTATTATTATTATTATTATTATCCAGAACTTTATTTTTTGCTATCATATGCAACAATGTAATAATATGTTGGGACCTCACAAATGACAAAAGACATCCAAATTTTGCATGCAGTATCCAAAAGTTGAAAACAGTAAATTTTGATGAAAATGAACAAAATTTTGAGCTTTTCACCAAAAAAAATATCCTATAGTTAAATATTTTTCAAGTATCCATCGCTCCTTGCAATCTACAACATATTATCTTAACAACCATGTCCAGTATTTATAAATGTGTTAAGAAGCAAGGAGCTTGTGTGCCAAAGTATGCATGATTCAGCAACAAAGGAATCGCAAAAGCGCTGAATTTAATCAGATGCGATTCACTGTTCACAACATCATGCAGCTGGGAAACTGCAATATACTTCTGTATGTGCAATACTTAATAAAAATTCACACTGATGAAAGTAATAGTGCATTTGTCATGATCCAATGTTCTCATTTAATCGGACAATAACTTTAAATTGATATTAAGTTGCACGAATATGACAAAGTTTCGCCCGAAAACAAACTTCATGAAATATTGTCATTTTAGGTACCTGAAAGGTTTAATTCCCTTTGTTTATAGAAATAGTTTGAGGACTGTGCAGGATATTCTGTACACTTGAGTTAAAGGAACTTAATGAAAAGTGTTATGGAATAGTAAGAATAAGTCTAAATAATTTATTTAGTCAATCATATAATACTTTTCTCTAAAGAAAACCCCAAAAGAAAGAAAAATGAATTACTATATTTGAACTTCAAAGAAAACATGCAATGCAAGCAAAGTTAAAAAATTAAAATAATGCCAGTTTTGGAAAAATTGTTAAAAAAAAATATATTATTTGCCCCCTCACCTGTTTTGACTCCTTTATGTGAAAGATTTGGCAAACATCCACCCTCGCACAGACTTATTCAATTACATGTATTGTGATATTTCAATTGAAAATTGAAAAATAAGATTGAACATCTGATTATTCATCAAGTTTCTTTCACTTTGAGGTTACCAAACCCCAAAAAATTCTGGAATTTGAGTATTTTTAAGAGTCAAAAATAATACATATTGAAGATTTCACAACTACTTTTACACATAAATCTATTAATTCAGCGCTATATATTGTTGGTAACGACAGTTTTAAAACAATATCGTAAAATATTAAAATTTATATGCAAAATTTTGCATTGAAAGACTTAAATGGATTTGTATCTGAAAGACACAATATACCTTTACTTCCTTTATAGTTTGGGTTTTGGTAGAGTATGCTTTTATTTATTTTTGTGATAAAAATGCATATGTGTAACGATCTACCTGAACTGTTTGGGGAGTCCTTCACCCGGACCCACAACCTGCGTTCTGCATCCCCCAATGGTAGCCTTATTAAACACTTAATACATTTTTAAAGCCAGAAACTGCTCTAGGTTGAAATCATTTGGTCAAATAGAACATGGAAGTTAACAAAATCAAAAAAATTCAAATGTCATTTTTCAATGTTTTGTGCAAATTTGTAAAGTTTCCCATGTTTTCCTGTGCGGAACAAGATATTGATGTACAATTATCATACGCTATGAAAAATATGTTAGTTTTTGCATCCTTTCAGGTCATTTTATGTATGACACGTACTGTGGTAGTCATATTAGAAAATTTTTAAGTGTGGTTTTATTGTAAATTGGAATATTGGCAGAAGAAATGTATATATTCATAAAAATCAGTCAAAGGTCAAACAAGAAAATGAAAACTTGTCTTTAATTTTTAGTGCACATTTCTTCCAAGTATTATTGTTTGTGAAATATGAGATGTATTTATGAAACATGAAATCAGCGTTAGTGTTGTTAAACTCTTTTTCTGTAAGAATGGGAAAGCATATATGCATAGTTTTTTATATAAAAAATGAAGTGTTTTTCTCATATGGTAGATATAGATATTTTATTTTCTAGTATAGTAAGGTTATGATAGTTGATGAGATTACATATTATACTTTAAATTAAAAAAAGGTGAGTAGTACATTTTTAAGGAAGTGCTGACTAAGCAAGATTTTACTACTTAAAGGGCCATTAAATTCATTTCAGTCATATCATGTTGCACTGAGTGGAGCACTTTATTTATCTTATTTATGTTAAGATTGTTTAAGTTGAAAACGATTGCTTTATATGTATTCAGGGTTTGCAGAGGAAATACACTTGGTAATGGAAGTGAATTACATTTTACATATTTGAAATAAATTTATTTGTTGCCTAGTCCTTTATTTGTTTATTTAACAAGTGTGGATAGTAAATAGTTAGGTTTGATTCATGATACTTTGTGACTTTCATGCGAAAGTTTGCATGATATACTGACACCAAGTACTCACAAAATACTCAAAACTAGTATATTATTACCTTTTTATCATCTTTTCTAGAATGTGATAAATGTTTGAGACAGTTTCAAAAAAGAAGCCATTTGAATGCATTGCAAATATGGTTCTAAGTTAAATAATGTTTCCCAGTGGTATCCATCTATGATTTTTGTTGAGCCTGCGACTTCTGTCGCAGAAAGCTCGACATAGGGATAGTGATCCGGCGGCGGCAGCGTTAACTAACTACTTAAAAGCTTTATATTTTAGAAGGTGGAAGAATTGGATGCTTCATACTTTGTATATAGATGCCTTATGTTATGAAGTTTCCGTCTGTCATATGTCCATTGTCCTTGACCTCATTTTCATGGTTCAGTGACTACTTGAAAAAAAGTTAAGATTTTTTGTAATGTTAATTTCTCTCTTATTATAAGTAATAGGATAACTATATTTAATATATGCATACCTTGCAAGGTCCTCATGCCTGTCAGACAGTTTTCATCTGATCTCGACCTCATTTCATGGATCAGTGAACAAGGTTAAGTTTTCGAGGTCAAGTCCATATATCAGATACTATAAGCAAAAGGTCTACTATATTTGATGCATGGAATGATTTTAAGGTGTTCATGTCTGTCTGGCAGGGTTCATCTGACCTTGACTCCATTTTCATGGTTCATTGGTCAATATAGAATTTCCATGGTTTGGTCTTTCTTTTATACTATATTAAAGCAATAGGTCATCTATATTCTGTGTATGGAATGATTGTATTAAAGGTGTACATGTATTTCCGGCTTGATTTATCTGACCTTGACCTCATTTTCTTGGATCATAAATGTTAATGTGATACTTGTAGTAAAACTTTATATATAGGACTATCAACATAAAATCAGTGGTCAGTATAGTAGGCGAGACATTTCAGTGTGTGCACTCTTGTTGTGTTTTGTTCTGTTTTTGTTGAGCCTGCGACTTTTGTCAGAGAAAGCTCGTCATAGGGATAGTGATCCAGCGGCGGCGTTAACTAACTTTTTAAAAGCTTAATATTTCAGAAGGTAGAAGACCTGGATGCTTCATACTTTGTATAAAGATGCCTTATGATATGAAGTTTCCGTCTGTCATATGCAGGGGCGGATCCAGGATTTAAGGTTAGGGGGGGGGGGACAAACTTAAATTTTCGAAATTTTTTTTGAGGTAAAATTATCGAAATATTCTTTATTAAGCTGAGGACAACCCATGCTTTGCGAATTTAAGGGGGGAACGCTCATCACGCATCCGCCCCTGATATGTCCATTGTCCTTGACCTCATTTTCATGGTTCAGTGACTACTTGAAAAAAAAGTTAAGAGTTTTTGTAATGTTAATTTCTCCCTTATTATGAGTAATAGGATAACTATATTTGGTATGTGCGTACCTTGCAAGGTCCTCATGCCTGTCAGACAGTTTTCATTTGAACTCGACCTCATTTCATGGATCAGTGAACAATATTAAGTTTTCGAGGTCAAGTCCATATATCAGATATAGGTCTACTATATTTGGTGTATGGAATGATTGTAAGGTGTCCAACTGGCAGGTGTCATCTGACCTTGACCTTATTTGCATGGTTCATTGGTCAATGTTAAGTTTTCATGGTTAAGATTGTTTCTTAGATACTATAAGTAATAGGTCTACTATATTTAATGCATAGATTGATTGTAAGGTGAACATGTCTGTCTGGCATGGTTCATCTGACCTTGACCTCATTTTCATGGTTCATTGGTCAATGTTAAGTTTTCCTGGTTAAGTATGTTTCTTAGAAACTATAAGCAATAGGTCAACTATATTTGGTGTATGGAATGATTGTAAGGTGTACATGTATTTCCGGTTTGGTTTATCTGACCTTGACCTCATTTTCGTGTTAAGTTTATGTGATACTCGTAGTTAAGCTTTATATTTAGGACTATCAACATAAAATCAATGGTCAGTAAAGCAGGATAAGCATTTCAGCCTGTGCACTCTTGTCTTAAACTATAGGCAATAGGTCAACTATATTTGGTGTATGGAATGATTGTAAGGTGTATAGGTCTGTCTGACAGGTATCATCTGACATTGACCTCATATTCATGGTTCATTGGTCAATGTTAAGTTTACATGGTTGAGTTTGTTTCTTAGATACTATAAGCAATAGGTCAACTATAGGTGGTGTATGGAATGATTGTAAGGTGTACATGTATTTCCAGTTTGGTTTATCTAACCTTGAACTAATTTTTCTTGGATCATGTTAAGTTTATGTGATACTCGTAGTAAAGCTTTTTATTTAGGACTATCAACATAAAATCAATGGTCAGTAACGCAGGCGAGACATTTCAGCGTGTGCACTCTTGCATTAGATAATCACCAAAAGCTCAAAATTAGAAAAGGAGCCGCCTTCTGGCATTTGTTGAAATGTACGAGATGGTTTGTTATAAGCTGTTTGTATATTTTTCCCATATGGTTCTCTCATGTTGGAACATGATGGTCATTTATATTAATTTGGTTTGGCAAATAAGAAACTTGCAAATTATGATAATACTTATTAAATTCTCCCTCGCCTGCTCGTCCGAATTTAAAGCATTTCTTTACTAATACCCGTATAAATAAGACAAAACCCATAATATAGGTGTGGTTGCTCGCAGTAACTTCGACAAAACAAAGGAGTAGATACGATTAGAATCAAGGCCAAGATATTAGTTGAAATTCTTGATACCCTAAAAAATCTAGAAATAATCTTTCAAATAAAATTTAAGATTCCAAATTTGACACTATTTCCCGTTAAATAAGTCCACCAATAAAAAAGGGAAACAATACTGAAAAACATTTGAAACTCATCACACTCGAAATTTCTCATATTGCGGTATTTCATATTAGTGCTGGCTTTGATGATTCGATATTTTACCGTCAACCGTCAATCACATGAACTGGCAAATCTTAGCTTTCCGTAGAGACTTTTAAGAGAAAAATAAAAGAAATTAAAATCACGAACATTCATGTTCATAATATATATTAAACTATTATACAACATTTCATGTCAGACTGGGCGACCAAATACATCGCACCCAGCGCTCATGTAAAATAATGTCTTATATATAGTACATAACTATTCGGTTCAAACTAACAAATTCAAGTCACCCTGCGTGACATACATAACTACAGTTCACATGCACTAACTGTAACTCAAGTCACACTGCGTGACATACATAACTACAATTCACATGCACTAGCTGTAACTCAAGTCACCCTGCGTGACATACATAACTACAGTTCAAACTAACTATCTCGATTAAGTCACCCTGTGTGACATACATAACTACAGTTCAAACTAACTGTATCTCAAGTCACCTTGCGTGACATACATAACTACAGTTCAAACTTACTGTATCTCAAGTTCAAACTAACTGGAAGTCGAACTCAACTTACCCTGCCTGACATACATAACTACATTTCACTTGCACTAACTGTAACTCAAGTCACCCTGCGTGACAACAGAGACATATTGTATTATATGTCTCTGTTATCTGTAAAACGATCAACAATTATATGCCAAATATAAGATTCAAGATTGTATTAAAAAAATTTCTTAGACATAATCAAATGCAACAAGAGGCACGGAATCATAATAAATACATGACAATGGTGTACGAGATGGAGCATAGCATAATACAGTCACATAATACATACATTTGTTTTTGTTATGTATGATAAATTAAGAGTACAATTGACCTTGCCTGGCCTTTAACGGACTTTGAATTGTAACGAATTAGATATAACAACGTGTGTAAACTGGAGTAATCCGTGAATAAAATATCTAAATAATATCATAGATATTTAGCAATTTCTTATGACAAATAGACAAACTATTCAGGACTCTGTAACACATTTGGTTTTATATTTCTCTCAAAATTTGATATCTTGTGTTAACAAATATATAAATAGTGGAATTCATACCCGACTGAACTGTTATTACATAACGTGCCCCATGTCTCTTCCCTAGGAGTTTTATCCATTTGCCAGTTTTATTCGGAAATTCGATATTCGAACATCAAAATTTAGTCAGAGACATATATACACATTTCTGGTTTAGAAATATAAATTCTATTCTTTTTTAAAGAAGTCTTATATTTTTAAAACACAAATTTTCTTAGAATAAGAAATAACACTGACTTTGAAAAAGAAGTGTCTATCACGCAAGACACTGGTTGTTCCGTACGTATAAAACCTACATTATCTAAAATTGACTTTTAAAATACAACCGATCCATATAGAAACAAATAAATTAGAATATGCATATTATGCATATACATGCGTGACTTCCATGTTGGTACTATTAAATTACTTTGGCCTAAAGCATCTGTATCTGATTGATTATATTAACGAGAATTACAAACATTAATATAAATTTTTCTATCAGCAAAATCAATAATTTTACTAATATAGGAGATGTGGTATGATTGTCAATGAAACAACTATCCAGAGTTCGAACGAAGTAAATGTAAGTTCGTCTGCACACGTATAATCATTCCTGGTTATTCATATAAGGGACCGGTCATTATTTATCTCCAGGGGGGCGGCAAAAAAGAAGGGGGGGGGATGTCATGAAAAAAATTGAATCTGATAAGGGGGGGGGGTCATTCTTTTTCAGGTTGATCAAGTAGGGGGGGTCATGATTTTATTGGCCATAGATTCATTGATCGCCATATACCATGACCATAGACTATACATGTATAGTTGTTCGGGCCCTTCAGAGCTAACTTGTCTCCTAGTTTGACTCTTTCACAAATATCAAACTGTCACTATCAGTGATCTACCTAGAGCTAGTCACTTTACTCTTTGACTAATTTTATTGTCAAGTGCCTAATGAATATTACCATAAAATGTGCAAAATAAGTCACTTTTC